ACCATTCATAGTTTCACTGTTCATTTCTCTCCATGATCTCAAGAAGCACCATTTGCCTATTCCCTGGTCACTTGAGAGTTCAGACCCCTCAGCCTTAAGTAGGTAAATGAAAAGGACAATAGAAATCATAGGAAAGAAGAAACGAAGAAGAACTATTAAGAAAAAATCGATGATCATCGGACTTTCTTATTAATTCCATGAAAAATCCGACCCGATCAAAACAATACACCCCCGTTCAATTTTTGATGATATTAATAATGCTGCGTCTTAAGAAAACATTCTTGTTCTTGTCCTTGTACTTCTTCTTCTTTTTTCACATAGAATCTTATCGAACCTTGCATGTTACAAATTGAAAAATTTTAGCACTATTGATGTGCAAAATTCGTATACATGATGGAGAAAGCGAAATCGGCATGAAGCTGTAATAATCAAATTCTCGTGCATTTTGTTTGGTAATTCGATATGTACTTCCAATTACATTACTTTCTTTTCAACATTAAAATTCGAAGATGCTAAATGATTCGTTCACTAAAAGCATCACTTATTTGAATCTTTCCCCTAGGACAACGACATTCCAACTAGTTTCAGTGAATTTGACCAACGAATTTGCGACCAATAAATAATGTTGAGTGAACAATTTATGTCAATTTAAGGTTTCCAAAACAAAAAAAAAAAAAAAAAGAAGAAGAAGAAATAAAGAATGAAGATGATTCGTGTTTGTTTGGACATCAACTCATTTTACATTTTCACTCATTTTACCTCTTAAACGCAAAACCCAATGGAAAAGAAAACATCATCCAAACAACTTTCTGATTTACATTTTAAATTCTAATTTGAAACACTTTTTGTTAGTGTAATGATCATTTTAGAACTACAAATAATTCAGTGACAAATTTGGCAGGATTCTATTATTGAGTGATTGTTTTTGGAAAAGTTTTTTTTCACAGTGACTATAATTGACAGTATTTAATTGTTTAGTGATGACTCGTACTTGATATTTCAAAATGTAGTTCAAAATACTTTTTTTCAAAACCAACATTCAAATAACTTTTTGCTCAAAATACCATTCAAATAACATTTTTATTTCTTATTTAGTTTTCAATTTGAAACACTTTCTATTTTTAAGTGGCAAAATGAAATGTAAATTGAAGTCCAAACAAGCACGAAGTAATTTCTAGTGGTCTTATACTGTATTTATCGAAAGGAATGTGCACCATAATTTTCCAGAATCCCAGCGAAACTTCAGAGACCCATCGGGCTACAAGTTGAGTCGCTAATTAAGTATACAGGCCCAAGATAGAGCTATGGATCTAGCTACCTGTTGAATTACTTTATCAACCAACAATAACTTATTTTCCCGTCCTAAAATAAATTTTTCGTTGATCTCTTTTATTATAACCACCAGAACTTTGCTTTTGCTCTTCTTTTTGAGACGAATGGACTGTACTATTCTATCTCATGGAAAGTTTTTCGTAATGAATCAAGAAAAGTAATGTACATATTGTGTTTCTAGTAGTTACAAATATATGAATTTATGTTCTAAAGAGCAAGGAGAGGATTAATTGGATACCACATTTAAGTGGGAAACATTGAAATACATAACTGAATGTATAAGGTTAATGATCAATAACAAAAAAAAAGGTGAGGCCACTACTCCGTTTTCTCAACCACTAAACCAGTGGAGGGTTTATCAAAGATTCAAAAATGTTGACAAGGACACTACCACAGATTCCAATAACTAGTAGATAATCATATAACACAGAATATTAATAAGAGCAATGGTAGAGATAGTGAAAAATTATAGTGAAATGGAATAATTAGCTAATGAAAAAACAAATACATCATGCTCACTAAATATGTATACTTATTAATTAAGGGTCAAAATGTAATTTTTTAGGAAAAATAAAATTTTAACGGAAAAATGACAAAAAAACTAGCGGTCAAGAATACTCCACATCATTCACTATCTTTTTTTTTCACTATTTTTCTTCACTATACATATCATAATATTATTTTTATACAAATCTCAAAATTTAATGTGAATTATTCTTTTAAAAGAGAACAAATATACCACAAACTAAAAGCAAAAGCGAACTTGAGAATGCACCTGATGAATAGAACAACATGTTCGATTTTTATCATTATAGCATTCAGTGTCAAGACGATAATAATAAGTTACAAACATCTGATAATTAATTGATATAGATTCAAAATGTACAGTCGTGCGCATGACGTCTTTGTAGTTGGTCATAATATTTTGAACTATATTTATTTAAAAGCTAGAAAGAAGGGGGAAAAGAAACAACTTGAGCCATTTTGTAATGGTTTTATTTGGTGGGTCGATCTAGCCAGCGATCACCACAATGTGTGAATACCTAACAAACTAATTTGATCGTCACTTCTACCATGAGAGCGAGCATCCAGATTAAGAGCTGACCCCCTATTCATGATTCTTAATGAATGGACTTGGTTTAATTAGGATATTCAAAAGGGGTCCAAACCTTGGAAAATTTGTCCAATTGTTGTTCGTATTTATGGCAATTAAAGAAATCAAAAAGTAATAGTAGTTTATAGTATTGAATGTTAATATCAATGTGATCATGATTGTGTATAGTTGTATTCTCTGTTGATCCTAATTCAATGACATCACAAAACGGGATCCACTAAGTTTGTGTTTTTGTTTTCAGAAAAATCATCGAAAAAATGAAAAAAAAAAAAAAAAAGATGGAACAGAACCTGTGGAATTTTGATGCATGTTAATTTGGCTACAAATTAATTCCAAAAACATGATAAAAGGATTATGTATTTATTATTTAAAATAAAGAGTTACATGCATGTAATTTAGACTTTTTTTCTTGGTTCAGAAGTTTCATGATGGCTTGGGTTAGATAGAGTTCACAGAATCAAAACTCTCAAATTTCAAATTTTGCAAAAAAAAAAAAAAAAAATCTCTAAAATTGATCCATTGTATCATATTAGCCCATGTTTATGTTATAAAATGTTTATCACTGCCACTAGACAGTCACTATAAATCAACTTTTGAACGGAAAAAGTTTGCTTTTTGTTAATTAATTTTTCCCAAATCCTAAATTAACATATCATCTTTTTGCTTTTTTGATCCACTGTATTCAATATTCATGAATAAATTTAAATGAACTACATGTATATTTCTAATTACTTGCTCAGTGGTCTCACTCATATCCTAATTAAGAATCACCAATGAATGGAGGAGTACGTTTAACACACAAAACAAAACCTTAAAGGTGGAGAAATGAGCTATAAACTAATATTTTAGAGGAAGTTAACGATCAGTGAATCACTAGAGAGTCAAAATATCTAAACCATTAGCGACCAGAGAAAAATATTCTAGTATATATGAAAATTTTTAGTAAAACTAATTAATTTGAGTTTAGTACTATTAGTTTTATGGTACTGTGTATATTTTTCTCTTTCTCAAAATTAACACCTTTCCCAATTATATCTAACCACACAAGAAGACGTACGTGGTGCATTTGTTACCCAGAATATTTACTTTTTTACTACAATTCCCGACTCTCGTATTAATCAAAGAGTAATGATACACATAAGAACAATAAGTAAGGAAAATAACAAATAATGATGTATCTAAGATCTAAATAATATCTTTAATTTTAAATATTTAAACCCTAAATAAAAAGTATAAATTTAATTGATGTATTTTAGATTGTAAATAATTTCCTGCACGTAATATATATATATGTTGGATAATTTTCAATTCTTATTATATATGCATAAAAATGAATGTCAGGACCATTTTCTTTGTCCTATATCTGGTGACGAAACCAAAATTCGGTAGGACGACGAGTCAACGGTGTCTATGGAATTGAGACCTGCAAAATAAGTTTTAGCACTCCGACGAGCAAATCAGTTTAAGGAATGATAGAAATAAATCTTATGAGCTAAGAAGGAAGTAGAAAGAACTTACTCTCCACCTCACAAATAGTGGTATATATAAGAATAAGGTGGAAAATATTCCTTAAAATATTTACTGGACTTAGAGGGTTTAGCCTATTTTAAGGCTCCCAATTGGCCCAATTAGTCACCAATGAATAGTTAGAGATCCAGGAATGGATGTTGGCTCAAGTAAATATATATATATATATATATATATATATATTTATTCAAGGCTCAAGTAAATATTTTTGCTTCATCATCTAGCATAATTCATTCCAACTTATAAGAACCAAAGTGTATATTTAATCTCCAAAGACCAATCGACGACAAAAATGACAATTCAAGAAACAATTATTCCTCAAATTAAAGGCAACGAAATGGTAGATGGATCTTTCAACTAGCAGCAACAAAGATGGCAGGAGATTGAAGAATGACATAACCGCACAATATGATTATCGGGAAATAAATACCGTTTCTGATCAGTTGCAATAAAAATTGCAAGCTTCATATTTAAAGATTCAAGTCAATCGCGAATCTAGGGAAAATTTTAGTTACGTTCCTCACCTAAGATTCATCTCATCAACGAAATTTTCTTTGGTGTTATGTGTATATACATTTAAGTACTCTTTGAATGAGAACGCGTTTATGCTTAAACGCTTGCTAATTTGGGTATAAATATTGAGCTTTCACAGTCCCCGAAAAATGATTCAATTCACATTCTTGTATTGTTGTTTAACTTTAATAAAATGTGCTTCTTCTGTCTCAAAAAAATTATTCTCGTTAAATTTTCATATTCTTTCTATCCCAAAAGAATTGTCCAGTTTGAAATTTTATTTTTACTCTCTTATTTTATAAATTGAACTAAAAATGAAAATCCAAACTTGACAATAATTTTCGGACGGAGTGAGTACTTGTTTGATTTTTAGTAAAAATTTAGAAACTCGATATGAACTGTTTTTTCGAGACAGAAACTACTTTTTTTCTTAAACAAAATTGTATGTTCTCTTTAATTGACCCAATATATTAACCTAGTTGAGTAGTATTGATATACACGTGAAAATGAATCACTGAAATGGGACAAACGTACTAATAACCTCTAATTAAAGGTCTAGTTAGAAATATTTGGCGTTACAACAGCCGTCTAATTTAGTATTTATACACTCAATTACATCTACACTCTCCCGACCAACTTACCCCACCAATAATAATTCTTCCACTTCCAGAAACCATGGCCGCCGTTCGACCACCACCCATCACCACCTTCACCGTCGCCGTCGCCTTCCTCTCATTTCTCTTCTTACTGGAGGTGTCCGCCGCCCACACTCCATCAACTTTAAGCCCGACTGAAATCCTAGCTGCCGTTTCATCCATGCCGTTAACGTCTAACAACTCTACATTAATATTATCATCATCCAACAGTGTGGAAGAGACGGACGAGCTTGACTCGGCGTCGTCGGTGATAGGGATTGGGTTACCGCATTACCACCACCGTAACGATGATGATGATGATGATGAAGGGTTTTCCAAATACTCCTTGAAACGCGGTTATAAGTTCTTGGAGGAGAATAAGGTCATGAAGAAACATTTGAGCCCTAAAGATAAAGATGATGACGGCGACGATGACGATGACGATAATGACGACAATGATGATGATAGGGATGACGGCGACGACAATGGTTGCGGCGATGACGATGAAGAGCAGGAGGAGGAGAAGAAGGAAAAGAAGAAGCTTGCTCGCAAGTTTGGGCCTTAAGCTTCTGGAGTTCATTGAGATCCACGTTTTCTAATAAGTTTTATTTCTGATTTTTGTTTCATCATGTTTTTGGTTGTGTTGTATGATTCTCGATCGTTTCATATTTTCTTGGTTTAACTTTGATTTACGCACGTGTGTTTGTATCTGTTAATTATCTTAGGCAGTTCAGCTTTTTGTTATGTACCAATAAAATAAAATGTGTCTTTTGCTAATTAAAATGTATAACTATCTGAGTGGATGGAAAATTTGCCTCTGTTATTGGAAATGATGATCATACATCTTCAATGTGTAGGGCTATAATTATAAGTTGAACAATGGGATTATTATGTTGTTTCGATTGACTATAATGTGTAGAGTTGAAGCTTGACGTGTTAATTGGAAATCAGATGAAATTATTATGTATTACATGGAATTGTGCTATTTGATAAAATAATGATTAGAACTATACCATTTTATCCTCCGAATTTCGTTAAAATCATGTCTTTATGAACTATATTAGTTTTATCTTACAAACTTTGGTGGGTTAATGTCTTACTCTAACCATAGTTTTAATTTTAACGGTGTGATCATCGCTGCAAGTTACACACAACCACTAGCTCCAAGTTATTAGGTTTAGTAGCGTTTAGGTTAAGGATGCCAAATAATCTGTCAAATTAGACTCGTGAAAATTATATTTCCACAACCCTATGATGAAGCAATTCTCGAATACAATTTAACCACCTCTGGATCCATGATCTATCTTTTTTTTAATACATTTTAAAAAATTCTAAATTAATTTATGTGAATTCGTCTATAAGGAGGGGAATTTTACAATTACTTAGAGACTTCTTATAGAGCTAAAATTCATGTTCATTATAGACCATCCAAAATCCCTTCGAAAGTCACATACTCATCGTCCTAGGAAAACAATAACAGTTTCTTCATCATAATGTCTTACTAGTGTCATTATCTTTAAACAAATTTTCATATGAACGGAAAACAATAAAGGGAGGAGAGATTTTTTTAATAGGATATCACATCTGAGTGGAAACATTGTCATTCGTTAATTTTTTATTATTATATGCTAATGGGTTAATTAATCACAAAAAGTGAGGCATTAGTTCTTTTAAATACAGTACTGAACACTTTATAAAAAGAAATTATATTAACAAGGATCCCCTAGCTAGCACAAAGGCCAGCCAGATTAATTTCTAGGTTATTTTTCAAAACAAAGAAATACAAATGGTCTATTATATATGCATAAACCGCAATTAACTTGAGAATGCACAGTTTATACAAGTGATGATTGTGTTTGTAAATTTTGATCATATCAATACTAGATGGTCGATTCTTATATTGCCAGACTCAACAATAGGACTTAAATAAGGTGCAAAGTACAAACACCTGACAAATAGATTCAAGAATATGCGTATTAGCGTACATTTCCGAATGCATAGAAGAAGAAGACAGAGAGAACGACCTGACCCATCTCTTCTAATCTAGTTAACTTGAAACACTGGTAAATTGGAAGCTTAAGATCTAAAATAACAAGTGAAATATCTGAGGCGAACGTGTTGGATAATGAATTTGGATATTGGAGTGACAATGATAAGTTATTGTGGAATCAGCCCAATAGAAGGTGACATCTCCAGCCCAATGACACTACATCAAAAACCGTTTGATATCATAGTTTTCAAAATCCCAATCTGGATATTAGAATCTTACGATCCTACGATCCGGAATTAGGAAATCAATCCTAGATCTTATATAATCCTTCTTTGTAGTGGGATCTTATGGAATTCTTCAAAATCCCAATCCGGATCGTAGGATCCTACGATCCAACAATCCCATTGATTTTGTATAAAAATAGAAGGAAATGATTAGAAAAGATATAAAAGTTGAAATTTTGAATTAATGATACGCATGTGGGCACTAGTCTACTTCTCCTCAATAAAATCAAACAAGAATTGAACTAATAAATTGAAACTCGCAATTTCAAAATTATTATAATACTTTAAATAGTTATGATCCCACCGATCCGACCCACCAATCCATAATCCGATCCGATCCTGAGACCCCAAAACGATCCTGTGTGAAATCCCGATTTTGAAAACATTGGTTGATATTACATTTCTTTGTCCTAAAAAGTTACACAACAGGATACTTTCTATTGAATAGGACACATAGAAATAGATTAGTGTTCTCTATTCTCTAATCGCAATAGATTCATAGAACACTAAAAAGTGTCCTATTAAACTATCTTTCACAAGACACTTCATATATGTTGTATTAAGTTATGAGCATACGGATCGAAGCATCAATTCTGTTATTTTGTCGGTTTTCCTTTTTATTCTTGAATAATAATAAGTACAGGGAAAGTCACAGGAAAAAAAGACAAGAAAATTATCTCACACATTGATTTCAAAACGTTTCATTTAGGAATTATATATTTAAGATTATGACATAGTTTTTTTTTTTAGGAGAACTAGGGCGGTATCTGGCGAGTATCCCCGATTTTATTAATGAAAAATTATAAGTACAAAAGACAGTATTTAACACTTACCCAAAAAGAAGAACCGTCTTACAACTTTTCTCTAAATTTCTAAGATTGTTTTAATCACTGTTATTTTATTATTATTAACGCAATTTCGATATTTCGTACACAATAATCAAGATTACGTGAAACTATTACTTCATTCCTCCAATAAAAAGACAAAATTTTATTCTTCTTCTTTCTATAGTATCGGTTAAATTATTTATATGGTTTTTTTTTATGCTCATTTAAATTTACGGTATTTTATTCGTGTTAATATTTATCATGGTGATCGTTTAACTTATCTTACAAAAGCTATGATGATTTGCATAAAAAATCATTCATCCAAGTTTCTTATAGTACTTCCGTGGATCTTATTATAAGGATGTGGAGGTATTCATTTAGAGGGTGTGGATCTCATAGTACTCTAAGATTTTTATTTATTTTTTTCTTTTTTTATCCCCTTCTCTCGCTCTATATTCATACTAAATGCAGGCATTTCCATGAAAAAAAATACAAATATTTTCTCAGATTCAAAAAAAAAATTTACATTAAATTTTGAAATTTGTACTAAAAACAGTACAAATCTTGAAATTTTAATGTAATTTTTTTATTTCTTTTCTTGTTGGAACAAAGGTAGTACTAATTAAATGGAGTAAAGAATATTAATGTTAAGAAAAAATTCTGAAAAAATGGAGTTTTAGTTTGACACACACACAAAATAAAAAAAAGAAGAAGTTAATTTATCATGACCGAACAAATTTATTCCCAAACTGATAATCTTATTTATTTGTACTAAACTATTATAAAATTTGGACATTGGGACGGCTGGATGATTTGTTGTAGTCATGATATAAGCTACCTATGAAAAAACCTTCACCGGACTACTCATATTTCCCAGTTCCCTGTTTCCTTTTAAGTTTTAACTACACAAATCAAGGTCCACAGACCACAGTTTATGACTAGTTAAAAACTATTAATCTAAGCAAAGCTTACGCTTTAATCACATCTTCCTAAGCCATAAGCTACCTTAGATAACACCTTCACCACTACTCTCATTTTCATTTATCTTAATCACTAAGTACTTTGTCAAAATAAATATATAATAATAACTATCATACGGTCCATAATTTTTACAATCATTTTTTTTGATGCGCTGCGATATGAACCTAAATAAATGTACTTAAATATGTATTTCTTTTTTTCATTTTGAGATTATAATTCAGTTTGAATTTTTTTTTTTTTTTAGCATCAAAATACAAATTTCGAATTTAACGTAGACGTGATTGCTGAAAGAAAAAAAAATTGAATATTTTGTGCACCCGGACAGCAACACCTCAAAGTAGTGAAATATTCTCTCTAATCCTAATTACAAAATGTACTAGATTGACAATAAGATTTAATTTGTGTCTTTCTTATAATTAAGACCGGAAGAAAATAAAACCGCTAACGTATAGACTTAACCAAGTTATGCCACGTGTACGATGCCAGCTCTCTGCCAATCTCCAAAGTCACTACAAGCCGTATATTTATATTTTCTATATACACAAAAGTCTACCGTTTATAAAGTCTCTACACACAGCTAAGTTCAACCACTTTATCAACCATGGCTACCGTCCGACCGCCAACGACCACCGTCATCACCGCCGTCGCCTTCCTTGCCATTCTCTCCTTACTCGACGTTGCCGCCGCCCGCACGACGTCGACTTTAAACGGAGCTGAAACAATCGCAGATGCTGATGCTGCCGCCCTCACACTTCCAACATCCTCAGCCGTCACCGTCAAGGTCAACGTTAATGAATCATCTGTTGGGGAGCCCGATCCCGACACTGCGGATCCCATCATAGTTAAATCCGGTCCTTTGACTGATAATGTCACCGAAATGTCACCGTCATCCAACGGCAAGGAAAAGGAGGACCTCTGGGTCAGGTTTCCGCACCACCACCACCACCGGCGGCACCACAAGGATGATGAAGATGGGTTTTCCAAGCATTTATTGAAACAAAACTATAAATTTGTTAAGAAGAAGTTCAAGAAACATTTCAACCACGAAGAGAAAGACGATGACGATAGCGACAACGACGAGGATGAGAGTGACGATGAAGAAGGCGACGAGGAAGAGCAGAAGGAGAAGAAGAAGAAGAAGAAGGAAAAGAAGAAGCGTGATTTCGGAAAGAAGAAAGCGAAGGAGGGTGGTTTTGTAAAGCGTGATCGCAAGTTTGTGGCTTGATAAGTTTGTGGAAGTCTGATACGGTTCTAATTGTCATGTTTAGATTTTCACTTTCAATATACGATTTGTATTAGAAACGAAATTTTAAACTAGACAGTTATTTCTGAAGAGGGGAAATACCTATGGGGCATAAGTATTTTGTGATTTTGGATGTTATCTACGTTTGTGTATCTACTAATGTTGGCAGGCAGTTCAACATTTTGTTATGTAAAATATGATATATCTGTAATATCTGTTTGTTGAATCTATTTCTTTCTGAATTAATGGCGAATTTGAGATTTTTATTAGAATGCAATATGCCCATGTAGGCTATAGAGGGAGTCGGTGATTATAATAATTCTTGAAGGATGTTGTTAAAGATGAACGAGATACTGAACAATGTTATTACGAACGTTTTGCTCCAGCAGAAAAAGGCCTCAAAGATCTTATTAATTAGCTAGTTTAGATTCTAGAGCTGAATTTGTTATTATTATTTAAAATCTCATATGTTGTATTGATATTATATAGATCAGCGGAGTCAGGGGGTCGATCGACCTTGGCTGGCCTGATTTGGCTCGATTTTTCTTTAGTAGAGTATCTGATGACTGAAATTTTTTCAGATTGGTCCATTAATAATGGTTGAATAATTCTATTTTTTGATCTCGTAATTTGAAAATTCGCATTTCGCTATTGAGACAGATGTTAGTAACCTTTGCACTAATTAGATGTGAATTGTCATGGTCTTGCTTGTATTTTTTTCCTTTTATTAATGAAGTTGAAAATAGCATACAAATGGAAAAAAAAAAAAAAGAAGAAGAAATTTCTCTATCACGGTATTGATGCACTAAACCCTCATCAATTCCGTTTGAATTTACATGTCATGCATGAATCTGATTATATATATATATATATATGTATGTATATGTGTGTGTGTGTGTATTGTATGTATATAAAAATGAACTATTGAAAATGCTTGAACACTCGTCGTACTAGATGATATTGGTGATGATATTGGTGCCAAAAGGTCTGATAAATACTTCATATCTGAAAATCAAAGCTATGTGAAAACATTGAAGTCAAATTTTTTTACTTCATCTTCATCGATAATGTGCGATTCGTATATGGTTAAGAAGCTTCGTAAAATTAATTGATCATTGAATTGAAATTAACTGTATTCAACTGCTATCTCTATAAACCTAGAATAACATCCGCATGTATAAAATGAAAAATGGTAGAGACAATAATTTAGTTCAGCGAATTAATTGAACAATGTGACACATGATAAAAATAACCGGGTTCCTAAAAAAGTATAATACCGTTTCGAGTGTTTGCAATTTTTTACTTATATTACGCGGATCAATTAATTTAATTTGATGTACTCCATTATCATTCTATAAGATAATTACTAACGACAACAAAAGATGTTTAAGGAGGTGTTTGATTAGTACTCTTGATGTTAAACAACTTTAATCTAGTAGTTTGGAATAATCAGTTCTAATGATGCAACTTTAAATGACTTAATAACAATAATTTACAGCATAAATGGCAAACTCCTTTTTCGCAGACGTGGGGTTAACACATATTAATTCTTTATTAGGCTGCTATTTCTGTTGAAATTTCAGCATTTTAACTACTACGTATATTTTGACCATGACGCCTTTCTATATATTTATATACAGCTCCCTTAATTACCTCAACAGCAGCACTGTTAGCTTCATCATATATATCCAGAAAGTACTTAGCTAGATTAAAAAAATAAAAAAAAATCATGTCTTCATCGGATTCAAAAAATCAATTCTCCAATGATCAAGATGCCAGTGTTCCTGGCTCTTGGTCATCTGGTCTCTTCGACTGCTTGTCCGATGTCCCAAATTGTAAGTCCCTTTTTTATTAAGAATTAATTCAAGATTCGTCCATTAGTTCTTCATTGTGCTTTGTGTGGAAATTTTTCATTCCAAATGTTGTAGCTAAAATCAGCACAAAGAATTTCATTGTTGGTTTAATATTGTATCGTAATTATACAGTAATTGTTTCTACCATTTTGCCTTTCACTTCCATCACACATATAAGGTTGTTAGGGCCTAAATCAATCTCATCTACAATTTCAATTTCCGATCAAGTTTTGCCAAAGGCCAAAATTTTTGTGTGTACTCTGTGTGTGTGTGTGTGTGTGTTTCATAAGAATGAATATGTAGGAGTCCAAGGTCAAGGAGTTTTCAAATTTTTAATGACCAAACTCAAATTTTATATAAATGGTCATCATCGTCAATAACAACTACAATTCTTCTTTTGATTTTTTACTTTTAATTTTTTGACAAGGATTAATGTAATTGACTTGACATAGACTTATACATGCTTTTTTGTTTTGCAGGTTGCGTAACTTGGTGGTGTCCATGCATCACTTTTGGACAGATTGCAGAGGTTATCGACCAAGGATCACCTTGTAAGTCAATGAATAAACATATGATACTCCCTCCGTAGAAAAATAAAATTATACGCTGCAATTTATAAATTATATTGTTTTAAGTATAATTCACAAATTAGAATGTGAATTAATTTTTTGGGACAATTCATTTCATAATTTACTTTCTTTTTCCAATATCCCAAATTTTAACATTATAATCTAAACAATTCACACTTGTGGCGATTAACAATAGAAATTCTTGGAAAACCCAATTATTTAATTTACACTCCATTTGTTCAAAAAAAAAATTACATTAACTTTTAAGATTTGTACTAATTAATTTTGTAATTAGTAAATAAAAATTTCACGTAGCAGCATAATCTCCCCGACTAATTCTGTAATAATTTGTAGGATTGAAATTTCTCGTATACTCTCTCGGCTATGTTAACATATAGAACTATTTTTGTAAGACTGAAAAAAATTACATAATTTATATTTAATTATTTTAATAAATAACCTTTTACAAATATTTGTGTGCATATATGATGAATCTCTAAATTCAAGACGGAGCAAGTAACATATCAAACGTAAAAAATAATTTACTCGAAGTTATTCATTTATTGAAAATATGTGAAATTTGGTAACAGCTTGTGCAGCAAGTGCAGCACTTTATGCACTTTTCGAAGCGTTAATTGGGTGTGTCTGCATATACTCTTGTTACTACGGCACAAAGATGAGGAAACAGTTCAATTTACCAAAACACCGTTATGGAGATTGCCTTGTTCATTTTTGCTGTGAGCCCTGTGTTTTGTGTCAAGAATACCGTGAGCTCAAAAGTCGTGGATTCGACATGTCCGTTGGTACATACTTCACACTTATTCCCATTCATTTTCTTAAAAATGAAGAAAATAGTATTAAATAAAATGACGTATGTTCATATTTGTTATGCTGTTTTAGTTTACAAATAAGATGTCGTTATTAATTAATTAATTTGTTTCCTGTCACGAATGATTAGGATGGCAAGGAAACATGGAGAAGCAGACAAAAGAAGTGGTAATGGCTCCTGTTTCTCATCAAGAAGGAATGCAGCGCTAGTTAGCTGTTACATATATATATATATATATATATATATATATATATATAAAATATGAAAATGAATCACCAGATTTATTTTGAGAATTCTTCATTTGATTTAGGAAAGTTTGGGATTGGCTTTTTTTTTTCCTTTCTTTTTTGGTTCCCCTTTGTACGTGTAATGTGTCGACTCTAAAAATGAGTTTTGGAGATATTAGTTTTTGTTTGAACAATCTTTTAGAATAATATTTTGAAAGTTTTCTTCTTCTTTCTTGACTTATATACGAAAAAAGAAGGATGTTGTAAGTCTGAATTAAATTATTACTTTCCCTATCCCAATATTATTGTCCAGTTTGGATTTTCACTTTAGTTTAAGTTATGCTAAAAGTAAAAAATTAAACTGGACAATAATTCTAGAACGCACGGAGTATAAGATTTAAATGAAACCATAGACAAAGACACAACGGATTGCTTTTGATAACAATGAAAGGACCAGGGGCGGAATCACCATAGTGCCCGAGGGGTCAGCAGACCCCCGGCGGCCGGAATAACCATAGGGATTTCCTACAGCTGGAGTTCAAGCCGATTCCGCCTGTCCCTTTTTTTTTTTTTGGTGAAAGGTTAAAATGTACTCCCTCCGTCTCATAATTATTGTCCACTTTGCCCAAAAAATTTTGTCCCAAAATTATTGTCCAATTTGACTTTTTATGGATCAAGTTACACATTTGTCCTTAGTAAAATACATTATCCATAAAATCTTAGTGGTTAAAAAATTACTTATGTAGGGGTATATCCGGTTGTTTAAGGTAAAATATAATTAAGTTTGACCAAAAATAAAATCTTTCATTTTAGTAAAACTGGACAATAATTATGGGACGGAGGGAGTATTAACTTCTCAACACATACTTCAGTTTTACAAACCTATCAAACCTCTATTACAACCAGCTTCAATTTCTATACAACTCACTTTTCACATTTACAAACCTAACAAATCAAGGTATAACTTCTCACTAGATTTCAGCTTATTACAATAGCCTCTGATCCTCCATTTCATCTCCAACTTAATCTTCTCAAACATTGCATCTACAGTCATCAAATTACCTCCATGTTGTACTGTGTTCCTGAGATTCCAAAGTTGATATATAGTGCAGCAGACAACACTCCATATAAAATATTCTATTTCCACCTATTTTGCTTCCATATGTTTATCAACCTTGTATCCCATACTGAAATTTTTTTAGGAACTCCCTTGCGTTGCAGCAAGTTTACCAACTTATTCAGAAGCATCTCTGAAAACTTACACTGGAAAAAGATATGGTCAAACGTTTCCTCTTCAACTGTACAGAGAACACAAGCTAAATGTTGGCTGATGATCTTCAATCTCAGTAGTCTTTCTGAAGTGAGCAGCCGTTATTTTAAGGCCAACCATAGTATAAAACTGTGTTTTGGCACATTGTACTTATTCCATACTATTGCAGCAGCTTTCATTTTGATACCAGGGCCTCTAAACCATTCATATCCAGCTTTAGTAGTATACTGCTCCTTTTTCTCCATTCTCCACTTTCCTTGTGACATAGCTGGTTTAAGTTGCTCTTTAATCTACATCAGTTTCTTCCAGTACCAAGGAGATCCCCGAGCTGGATAGTAGTTCCAGACATCTTGTCCTTTTAAGTAGTACTCATGCCACCACTTCACCCAGAGGTTGTCCTTTTTGACAGCTAGATTCCATACCTGTTTTCCCAAGGCAGCTTGATTCCACAACAAAGGGTCTTTAAAATTCAAGCCACCCTTCTTCTTATGTCTACACAAGTCATCCCAGGCCACCAGAGCATAGGATCTTCCATTCTCCTCCTTTTTCCCCTATAAAAAATCTCTACAAACTCTTACCACTTGCACAATTATACTCTTAGGCATTATGAAGATTGATGCCCAGTATGTATGTAGTGTCAATAGCACAACATTTATTAGAGTAACTCTTCCAGCATAGGACAAGTGCCTGGTTGTCCAACACTTGATCCTAACAGTTATTGTTTCTAACAGATTATGACAATCTACTTCATTCCACTTATGAGGTGAGATAGGAACTCCCAAGTACTTCATTCGGAATGTTCTTCTATTAAAACCCAAAATAGATTGAATCTGTTGCCTCTTGACAAGCAGTCGTCACACTAGTCAAATATTAATTACCTACTTAATACAATTACTAGTAGTAAAGCAGAAAGCCGGGTTGATCCCACAGAAAAGGTTACCAAGTACCGGTTAAAATTATTTCTTATTATTATTTAGATTAACAATTTATCAATTTAAACTAATCTAAACCTAAAACTAATAATTGCAGTTATTTAAAGATATAAATAAGTAAAAGAAAAACCTAGGGCAAAGGGTTCACCAACCGACTATTCTGTTTAATTTAATCTATAGATATATAACTTTCGACTCTCATTAATCTCACGATAATTCACCAATTTAAAAATTATACACTCTCGTGTCATAACCCTCTTACTTAAACTAACCCTATGGCTACTCTCGTGACTATAGGGATTAATAAAAGCACATTAAGAACTTTGGAATTACTAGTCGCAAAGGCGGTGTTCCTACTCTCGTAGCTCACTACCTAAGTTTATTATTCCTACAAACTAATACTAGCCTTCCACTCTCGCTACTTCAGTTAGCACCTTAAAGCATGCAAATATTGACCAGGTATTCACATGGATGAAAAAAAAACTCCGTTTCACCAATTCGCCACTCTGGGTACACGTTTTCAATGTGCCGGCAGACCTCATGACTCGTTTAATGGCTGAATTCGTTGCAAATAAGATTGGCTCCTTCATGGATGTTCAGACAAACGCACAAGGGAATTGCTGGGGTATCTCCATACGAGTTAAGGTTCTGATTGACATCACCAAGCCGATTCCTAGGATGCTAGAAGTTGAGTTCAACGATGAGCCCCTCACGCTGTACTTCCAGTACGAGAAACTTCCAATAATGTGTTTCTTCTGAGGGAAAATTGGCCATCTTAAGAAAGAATGTGATGACAGGTTGTTGAAAGGAATAGCATTGAACACAGAAGACACGTGGGGAGCATCGTTGATGTATGAAAGCAACAGGAAGAAATCGCCGGCGTCCGGCCGACTCAGATCATCTGCCGAAGCAAAATTCTGACTGGAATCTCCCAACCAACACCCTAACTCCACCACAATCGGAATCCATTCCCAAACAGAATCCCCCCAAATCCGTCCAGATCCTACAAAGCAATCCAACCTAACTATCCAAATCCCCAACCACTTCAAATCCTATCCAGGGTAAACCCAACAAAAATCCAATCATGCTCCCTCTTAAACCCCCAATTGACATCAACAGTTCTTAAAATATGTTGATTGATTCAACCCCAGCCACTTCGGTTTACCCCCTCCAAATAACTCTGTCATATCTGATATCCAATTACCCAATGATCCAATTATTACCACACCAAAATCAGTATACCCAAAACCTAACAAAACAGCTCAGCCTGGCGACCCAATCTCTCAAACTATTACTCCGACTTCAACTAATCCAATTCCAGTGTGTGTTACCCCAAACCGCCCAGCCCCAAAAGAAAAAAACAAATCTATTATCCCATCGCCAAACCGAATAATACGAACTCACATCTGAAAAGTACCCGATCCAATACAACCAGAAGCACACTCAAAGATAATAGCCCCCCCCCCCAACAGCCAAAACCCTTTAAACAGAATGTCACAGGGTAACTCTACTTCCCCCCTACCCAAACGCAAGCTCTTCAACCCGAATGAACCAATCTCAAAAGAAAACCAACCGCCTCTCCTCCCCACCCCGAAAAAACTCAAACCCTCTACTCAACCAAACCCCCCTCAATCGTCCACTCCAAATGCCACACCTCAGAAAACCACCCAAGCAGAGAAGAAGAAGGAAGCAGTGCCGGAGACCGACAAGAATCGGTCCCGCCGACACAAATGAGTATTATAGCTTGGAACTGCCGGGGACTTGGGAATCCTCGAGCAGTTAGAGAGATTCAAGAATTAGTTCGTATGAATAATCCCTCTGTTATTTTCTTATGTGAAACTAAGTGTTCTACATTTCAATTCAATAAGACATAGCGCTTCTTGCGCATGCTAAGTTTCTGTGTAGATTCTATAGGTAAATCAGGAGGTTTAGGTTTACTTTGGAATAAAGACGTGCCAGTCGTAATAAAAGATTTCTGTTCAAGATACATTGATGCTCTTGTATACCCTGCTGATCCTCTCAAACTTTATCATCTTACTGGCTATTATGGTGAACCGGATACATCACTTCGCCGTTCAGCATAGAACCAATTCAAAAATCTTGGTGCAAGCACTAGCATTCCTTGGTTATGTTTAGGTCACTTCAATGAAATACTGAATCACAGTGAAAGCTTCAGCCGAAGATTAAGGCCGGATTGGCAACTTACTGCTTTTAGAGAGGCTCTCGACTCCTGCCAGTTGGATGAACTGAATTACGAAGGGAACACGTACACTTGGTTTAGAAATAGAAAACATACGGATACAGTCAAAGCCCGTCTGGACCGCGCCCTGTGCAAATGAACTCTGGAGGAGGAAGTTTCCGGGTACAAAAGTCTACCATCTATTCAGTCATCTTTCTGACCACATACTCATTCTTGTTTCTCTAGATCCTGCTACGAACCAGAGCAAAAAAAGAAGGAAAAACAGATTCGTTTTGAATCACGCTGGATCAGACGGACAGACATTGAAGAAGCCATCAAAGAATCGTGGAACGGATATAACGTTAACCTGTTAGACAAAATCAGTAACTGTGCGATTGGCCTAGTGAATTGGGACAAGCAATACCCCAAGGTTAACAGGAAAGCGATTGAAAGTCTCCGAGAAGAAATAGAGAAACTACAAAATGGCATTTTAAATGATCAATGTCACGAAAACTTGATGGAAAAAAAGTTGATCCTGGGAAACACTCTTAACTGAGGAGGATGATAAGTGGCGTCAAAGGGCAAAATTACACTGGCACAAGGAAGGAGATCGGAATACAAAGTATTTTCATGCCTATGCCACTAAGAGAAAGGAGGTTAATGAGATTAAAGGCTTGGAGAACAACCAGGGTATTTGGTGTACAAAAGAGAGTGATCTGGAAAGCATAATTGTCAACCACTTTGGTGAACTCTTCACTGCCAATTCACTACCAACAGATGACCTTCATTTTGATAGAGTAGAATGGAAATTTGTGTTGTTAGTAATGCAAGCATTAGGTTTTAGCATGTCATATATATCCCTCATTGAGAAATGCATCACCTCTACTTCTTTCTCCTTTCTTCTAAATGGTCTGGGATTCGGATCACTAATCCCTCAATGTGGTATAAGACAAGGGGATCCTCTATCCCCTTATCCTTTTATCATTTGTGCGGAAGTTTTCTCTTTAATGATTCAGGAAGCTCAACGGTGTGGAAACCTCAAAGGTGTACAAGTCGGTCCAACAGCACCCAGCATTTCACATCTCTTTTTCGCGGATGATACCCTTCTTTGTGGAAGAGCAACGGAGCTTGAAATTGATGATTTTTCCAGCATTATCAGACTTTATGAGCAAGTCTCAGGCCAACTTATTAATCTGGATAAGTCATCGATTCTTTTCAGCCCAAACGTTCCAAATGAGGTGGCCTAAAACCTAGCAACCAGACTCGGTGTAAGACGTACCGATTCGCATGAAAAATATATTGGCCTTCCTTCGGTTGTTGGCAGGTGAAAAAAGGAGATCTTCAGCGACATTAAGGATCATATTCGGGCAAAAGTTGATGGCTTCACAGAAAAAAGCCTTTCACAGCCAGGGAAGGAAGTCTTAATTAAATTAGTTGCTCAGGCGATTCCTTCCTACGCAATGAGTTGTTTCCAACTCCCTGATACCCTTTGTGAAGAAATTCATTCTATACTTGCAGCTTTTTGGTGGGGTGACACAAAGGAAAAATAGAAAATTCACTGGAAGTTGGGATTCACTTTGTAAACCTAAAGATGATGGAGGACTATGTTTCAAGAACTTAAAACTATTTAATCTTTCACTGTTAGGAAAATAGGCTTGGCGACTTTTGACGAACAGTCAGTCACTCCTATACCAAGTGCTGAAGGCCCGCTACTTTCCTAAAAGTGAATTTATGACTGCCAAGCTTGGTTCGCGTCCATCCTTCAGCTGGAGAAGCATCCTCCAAGGAAGAAAATGCTCTTAAATGTGGTGCCCGTAAAAGAATAGGGGATGGTTCAACAGTTGATATTTGGGAAGATCCCTGGATCCCAAAACCTTTCTCGTTCAAACTAATCAGCCCGCAAAATGCTTTCGTAGGCAAGCCGACGGTAAGCTCACTGATTGACAACAACTCAAAAGAATGGAATCTTGGACTGTTAAAGCACCTATTCTGGCCTGATGAAGTAACCATGATCATAAATATTCCTTTAAACTCATCCACTACAAAGGATTTTTGGAGATGGCATTATACCTCGCATGGCAAATTCACAGTGTCTTCTTGCTACAAGAGTTTTGCAATCCCATCATGGATTCCAAAGTAGCTCGATTGCAGGTTCGTCGAACACAAATGGAGATAATTCAACGTGGAGGAAGCTGTGGAACATAAATATAGCTCCGAGAGTAAACATCATTTATGGCGTTTGGTAACTGACTCCTTGGCAACACAGCATAACCTGATTAAAAGGAGGATTGATACCAACGGACGATGCAAAGGGTGCACTATACAGGAAGACCTGAAACATGTTTTCTTCACTTGCAAAACCTCAAAAGAGGTCTGGTCTAGCAGCGATTTAAGCGGACAGATAAGCTACCCTATTGTTACAGACATCAGGTCTTTCTTAGTCACTTTAATTGAATCTCTTCCAGCAAGGAAACTGCCCTTGTTTGCATCCATCTGCTACAGCATTTGGTCTGCAAGAAACACTCTGGTTTTTTAGAATCACATGCTCCAGTCTAAATCAATCCTCAGTATGAGCATCTCCCTGCTAGAATCATGGAAAGAAGCACAACTACATCACTTCCTAACTCCACCGACGACAAATAAGCCAGCAAGCTCCCTGGATTTCATCAATGGAACTACCATATTCTTTGATGGAGCCACAAACCGAGACCTGAATACTTCCGCGATTGGTATCCTAATTTTGAACTCTTCATCAGGATTTGTCGGATGCTATGCTAAATCATATGAAGGGTTGTTCACCCCATGTGTAATCAAAAGCCTAGCCGCACGGGAGTCTATCAGGTTAGCAGCTGCAACAGGAATCCAGCAACTCACTCTGGCCGGAGACTCGTCAGTGATTATAAATCGATTACAATGCAATGAAACTGACCTATCGGACTGGGATTTAATATTGGCGGACATTAAAGCTCGTTTTCAGGATCATGTCCAACTTGACTGCAAGTGGATTAGCCGTAAATTTAATGTGGTCCCCCATTGTTTAGCACAATTTGCAAAGTCTAAAAGAGACTTTGAAAAATTTTGGGATAACATTCCTGAGTTTGTACCTCATTGCGTGTTGGGCGCTTTACCAACAAATTAATGAAATTCCGCTCTTATTCAAAAAAAAAGAATAATAAATATTAATTAATAAAAAAGTCACAATCATAACTTAAATTAAATTAAATAGTACGATGGCTACATCCAAAATCCTAGATTAAAAATATTTTAGTTACACATTATCTCAAAAATAAATAAAACAATGAAACTCGGGAGAGAGAAGTCGCTAAATTGAGTCCGGAAATTGATCCAATGCTGCTCCTCTTGGTGATGATGATACGTAGGTGATGAGGTGCAGTTTTGCGTGGGCTGCGGGATGATGGAGTTGGTTTTGGAGTTTTGTGCGTGAGAAGGCTGGTGGAATGAGGTGATGGAGTTGATTAAGGTGATGATGGTGAGAGAGAAGAGGGGTTGCGGGCTAGTGTGCGTGGAGATGAGGTGCTGGAGCGGCGGTGCGTGGAGATGGGGAGAAGAGATGGTCGGC